TGTGTAAATAATAATTTTGATACTTATTTGAATTAGATAGAACTTCTATAGATAGGTATATTAGATAGTTTTATAGTCATTATTTAAGTTTTGAATGTACATTTTTTTTGTCATGTAATTGAGTGGTTGAAATTCAATCTCTAAAGATGAACAAATAAAATACAAATTTGTATTTTTATATTTATATTTCTGCAGAATTATTAATTAAGCTGATTTAATTTAACGGTTTTAAATTTGAATACATTGAAATGTAACACTAGCTAGACTTTATAATTCAACATTAATTTCATTAAGGTTTTGTTAATAAGTGAGTCAGTAAATTATTCTTTCACTGATTGGTAAATTCAAATTAAATAATATTCTATCTGTCAAATTAAATATATTTTTAAACTCTTACATATTTAACGTAAATTTGCGATTTTACTTTTAATCCCATTTTCTTTTGCTCGTTAGTTGTGGCTGAATAATATTTGTGCAATTCTCGCTTTTTCATTCTTCTCCAAATTAGGGTTCTACGGTTGATCTCGTTCCTCTGAATTCTTCACCACTGAAATTCCTGGTTCGTATTCTGATTTTTCATTTTTTTCACTATTCCTTTTCCTTCTGTGATTATTCAAAATATCTTCATTGTAGTTCTCGTGAAATGCATCTGAGGCAGCGGCGGCCGTGATGCGCGCCGGGCAGCGGCCGCTTTCCTCCGCAGCTCCGAGATCGCGCTGCTATTGGCTGCCATTTACTTCCTAGGCTGATTTTGAGATCTCTGGCGATTGGATCTTGTTTATTTGATGAATTTCAAATATTAGTATTATTAAGTCTGAAGAATTTACGATCATAACAGATTTTACAAGATTTGGTTACAAAAAGCTGTTATCCAGTTCTACTTTTTGCTTGTTGATTTCATGATTAATTGAATCAAATAGATGATAGCTATGAAACACGGACATCGGAGAAACACGACACTGATACGTCGACACCGATAATAATTTAAAAAAGTGAATAAGCTAGATATAATCACAAGTGTCGGTTTCGTACACCGACGCATACACTCTTTTTTTCAGAGGTGTCGGTGCTACGGAGAATGATATTGGCCTTTTAAAGCTTTAATAGACAAATGAATTGAATGAAGTAGTGTCATTCATAGTAGCTAAGATATGATTTAGATGTTTATAGCTGGTAAATGCTTCAGTCAATGCTTTAGAATGAGCCTTATATTTAGGTTTTGTTTGGATTGATGGAATGAGATGGAGCGGAGTGGTATATGATGGAATGGAGTGGTATTCCATTGTTTGGATCATTTTAAATCGGATGGAGCGGAATGGATTGTTATGGATTCCATTCCATTTCATCATTTACCATCATATTTCTTTCCATCCGATTTGGGTGAAATGAAGAATTTGCCTTGTTCCGTCATTAAATTCCAAACAATGGAATGGAATCTTCATTCTGCTCCGTTCATTTTATGATTTCCAAACACAGCGTTAATCTTTGTTGCCCGTGTATTCAGTTATTTGTAAATCACCAAACACTCTTTATTCTAACATATATCATTATCTTCTATTCTTATGTAAGTCATTAGTTATGTATTAATTTATACTTTTATAGATAATTAAGATGCATGATTTGATTTGATGAATTAAAATTATGATTCATTTTTATACTTAGTTATCTATATGTGGTGAAGCGTAACAAGTGGTTGCTGCAACACTTTCTAGAGGAAGTTTTATATGATTTGTACTGAGTCATTTGTTTTTTTTCTGCATATGTTAAAATGTTCAAATGAATTGAGTTAATTTATCAGTTGGATTTCTTTTGTAATGCAGGGGAATGGGATTATGGACATTACTCGAGGGGTTACTGCTTCTTGCAAATGCGCTAGCAATACTAAATGAGGACCGGTTTCTTGTCCCTAAAGGATGGGGTATGTCAGATTTTGCAGGAGGCAGGACAAAATCTTTTAAAGGCCAGATTATAGGTCTCATTTATGCGACTCAGTACCTAAGACTTCCTCTCATACTTTTTAACTCCATCTTCATTATTGTAAAGTTTGTTTCTGGGTGATGCTTAGCAAGGTGAGATGTCAGTACTTATAGATATGTTGGACTTGCATTCTTTTAATTTTGAGTGTGTAGACGGTAGATAGTAATAATAACAGTTATAGAAAAGATTTGCTGTTGTTGGAGTACCTTGAGTCACTAATGAATGAAATGTATGCAAAAATTGTATGTCGTTTACTATTAAAACCTATGTTGTCAATAACACGCTACACTAGCCTATAGTAGAATAGCGTAGTGGTGGTAGGGTTTGGCATGACGCTGTTGGTCTGCAAGGCACTGTCAACAATAGAGGCAATAGTGGCCACTTATTGCGGCCCCAGACCGCTATCACTGCTGTTATTGCGTTATGTCTGTTATTAGAATTTTGGGGATAAATTTCTCAAATTCTTTTTTTTAAACTGTTGTCTATTTTTAAGGATAAAATTTTCAATCTGAACCCTGAAGAGTAATGTTATTTTTTGCTCACAAATGATGTTATATGCTCTTCTTCCTACTTTTAGTTCAGTTCTATTTTGTTCTTCTTCTATGCTTAAGTTTTATTACTCTATAATTTAGGTTCTTTAACTATTAAATATGATGATTTCTTGTGCATTAGTCAAATTTTGAGTATTTATCATTACTATGCTTACTTTGTATTTGGTTTTTTAGTCTTTGAATTAATGGCTATCCTGCTATCTGCCATAGTATTTTAGGGGGTCGATGCTAACAATGCTATCCGAGATTAATAACATAGATTAAAATAAAAGCTGTATTTTATTTTTCTAAAAATGATATTATGAACAGTCTAATACAAGATGCAACACATTTACAAATTTCAAATGAACTGAATTTAGTTAATTGGATTCTGTATTTAGCTCAATGCACGGGTTTTCAGTAATTTTTATTTCTACCTTTGTGGTTCTTGGGCAACAACATGGAATAACTTAAAAGATTAACGCTAGCTACATGCTCTCTTGTACATTTTTTACTATCAGGTAAAATTCATGTGACTCCTTTACTTTAGAGATGGTGCTATTAGCATTATCTAGCTTGAAGTATGGTTGTTTTGCTATGGTATTTACATTGCAATCAACTAAAATAAGCAATCGTAAACTTACCTAGTTGGTAATAGTGAAGTCCAAATATCAAGCTAGCATGTTCAGCAAAACCTTGTGCCATTAATGTCTACCTTATTACTTTTTGTCTCCCATCTTCCATTCTCTTATACAGTTTTAAGAATATGGTTGTTTATTTTTATTTCAAGCGGATCATGTTGTGAGGTTTGATGAAGTAACATATGTTTTTCACTGATGTTTATTTTATCCTAATGGTTGCAGGTGCTGGAGTGTATCATCCTAGATTTCAAGTGTTTTTAGGCAGGAAAGTTTGAGAAATTCTATTGTAAGAATATATACATTGAAAGTATCTCTTTTGGGATATTGATCCTTTGATATTATTAGTCACAAAATCACGATTGCTACCATTACATATGCAGTCAGAAATGGAAACCAGTATTATTGTGACTTTATCTGGTAGCTGCTGTATTTATCTTAAGATCTAATTAAAATGAGCTAATGTCCTTGTATTATTTTCAATTGCTAATTGCTCGGTGATGTCTCCCGAACTGATTCTGCTTAATAAACTCGCCAAATTATGGGATTTATAACTAAATTAATGACGTATCATAAAGTTCATCAATTCACAATTAATCTCTTATTTGAGAGTTTGAAAAGAAAAAAAGAGGACGATTAGAAAGAAAAAATAAGAAAGATAAATTTTAACAATTTTTAAAAAGGAGTTTGTGTTGAATGATAAATAAATACTTTATTAGAATATATTTTTAATATTTAGATCACTAACCACAGATTTTATTAGGAGAGTATATATAACACTCTGAAACCTTTCAAAATTCTTCTTTAATATACTTATTTTTTTGTGGTGTAAAGAAAAATAAACTCTTTATGGCCCTCTCCTCTCAAAGCCTTCATTATTTCAACTTATGTTTATTTTCTTTTCTTTTTTCTCTAAGTGCTCCTTTCTTCTCTTCCAAACTTTTAGACTATGGGCGGGCGGAAGTTTAGAGAGGAGAAAAAGGGAGGATTTTGAAAAATATTTTTTTTAAAATATAAAAAAAAATTTAATATATTTTTATTTTTTTTATATAAAATAATAAAATTAAAATAGTGTTTAATATTAACATATTTTTAATTTTTGAATATTATATAATATAAATTATATTTGAATTTATCTAAATTTCAATATTCTCTTCCAATACAATTTTTTATAGTGGAGGTGCCTCACCACTAAGACAAACCTATTGTTTTTTTTAATATAATTTTTTAACACTCTAAAAAAACATGTTCATTTGATACAGTTTTTTAGTTTTCTCAAATTAGAAGGATTTTAATTTTTGAATATAAATAAATCTTTCAAAATTTTCTCCACCTAAATCTTTCAAAATTTTCTCTACCTAAATCTTTCTATTCAATTCATTTGATCCTTTCTTTTTTTCAAAGCTCTCTCTTCTATTCCTCTCTAAAGTCCCAAACAAAGGGCTTAGTTTCAAAACAAAGTATATTTTTTGAGATTATCTAGCAATAGATGATGTTCTAAACATGTGTAATTTGTTTCACTAGTATAAAATTATACCACAAAGGTTTGTTAACAAATGATATTCTAAACATGTGTAACTTGACTAATCAAATTTAAACTTATATAAAATGAAGTATACAACAAAGGTAAAATATTCAAAGCAATTTTGTAGACATTAGTTCAGAAGCCTTACATGGTGGTGTATTTCCCAATTTTTTTACTAGTTTTTTATTAAGTTGGGGAGCAAGGTGTGCCTAACAAAATATACAGGTGAATTATCCGATGTTAAAAGCAATTCATTTTTGTAATGAAAGCATACTTGAAAGCACAATTCAACATCATTAGAATAGCTGAAAGAATATGAATTTATTAAAATCATAAATCAGCAAAAACATGATAAGTTTTGGAGTCTAGAGCAATAAGCCGCAGTGCTGCAATAGTTGCTGCAACAGACATAACGGCAAAGAACCAAATGTTGAGCCAATGCCATAACTTTTGAGTAGATTTTAGTTTGTTCTTATTTGCCATTAGGTACATATGGTGTGCAAGGATAAATGTAAGAGGAAATGTGCTTATAGCTCCTGTGAGGCTCATGAAATCTCCAAGGAATGGCAAAAGAGCAGATACAAATGTGTTCAGAGCCATGTAGCCACCTCTAACCAAAACTCGAAATGACAAATTTTTAAAAGCCAGAGCACTTCCTTTGATTCCATGTTTGGTATCCAAATACTCATACATCGGACTCGCAAATATCTACCAGATGCATAAGAGAGGATATTAGGACAGTACAAAAACTCAAGTAACAATGTTTTAAAGCAACAAAGTATTAGTTTTAGTTTAGAAGTCATTACATGCAATGCAATGACTGATTGAAGAAATGCTGCAATATTGGCCAAAGCCTTCACCCAGATTGGACCATTGACACTATTCAACAAATAGGTTTCTGTTGAAGATCCATAAGCCCAGTAACCTGCGAAGGTAACCAAATATAATGGTAGAACTCCGGCGGTAAACTGAAAGTATAGGGCTTTCTTCATGTTCTTGACAACCGGCTGTCTGATCGTCGCCTATTGTTTAAAAATGGAAGTGTTGAGAGTTCACAAAAATATCCTGGAAGAAGTAATTTGAGTTTGCAGCATACCTGTATCTCAGGAAGCATTCCTGTGTTATATGCGAACACAAGATTTGCAGACGCTCCAATTGTTGTAAATATTTTACTAGTTGATGTCCCCGGAATACTATAATCGCGAGCTGGAGATTTTATTCCTAATGATAAACTGTTGGTTAGTACGCAAACTCTCACTGAACTTACCAAGCATAGTGAAAAGCAATTTGTCAATGATTAAGTAAACATGAACATGAATAATAAAAAGAGCAATAAGACATTACCATCTTTTAGTGACAGTACAAGCGATATGACAATGTATGTGAGGCTTAAGATGGTTGAAAATCCGAGCCAAATTCCAAGAGCCGAAAGATGAGGAATACAAATGGCAAACATTGCACACACAAGTCCAGCTATGGCAATAAAATGTGGAAGCTTCATATGATCATCATCCCTAAATAGCACATAAACAGCCTGCACGAGAAATAATAAACACGATTCAGAAAAACTCAGAAGAAGATTTGTTGGACTGTTTCTATCTGATATACAACCATTCATTCTATAATTTTTGATTACATTATGTTACCTTCAAAGCTGAACCCGCCAAAATGATGTAGCCAGTATTTATCATGAAAAGATTGACATACTGCAAAGTCCATGTTAGGGAATATATTTTTTTACCTACAATGAAAATGGAATGAACGTAAGCAACTATTCTATGTTACGCTTAACAAAATGACACAACAATCACGGTTTTTGATCTAATATGCATCAGAATTCTTGATCCTGCCAAAAATTACTATATTGCTGATACAGTAATACTTGCAGGTGAGAAGACATGAAAAACATGAGAAATTTAACATTTTGTTCCTCAAATTGTCTCGGTCGGACAATTTAGGCCCTCAATTTCGGAAACAGCAGTTTAGTCCTTTAAACTAAAGAAGAACTTTAGTCAATTTAGTACCTCAACAAAAATATATCCTTCAGAAACATCCATCAAAATCAATGAAAAACCACCGCATACTCTATACATTGACACTTGTGATCAAAGGTGAGTTTGGTATATGAAACGAGTCCTATATCGGATACATATGAACGGTGATTATATATTCGATTCAACAAATTTATTTTCTCAAATTATCACAAATGTCAGAGTCATGTCATTGTGTCCGCTTCATAACCTACATATCAACTCAAATAGTCTCAAGCAACATCAAGACAGACACATAAGCTTTAAAATGGCGGTGCTAAATTTAGCCCAAACATAACACTTAAAAATTTCAAGAACAAATATACACAATAAAAATCTGGATATGACGGCTTTAATGACAAGATAAGAAAAGAATGAGTATTATTATCTAGTTAAGGAGCATAACATACCATATATAAATCCAGCAAGATCACGGTATCGAATATGTCTTGTTCCACCAAATTCATGAAGCATAGCAATAAGAGAATTTGCATAAAGAGATATTAGAGTAGCAAGAATCAAACCAACAACACCACCAATCCAACCCAAAGGAACCATAATGGTTCCTGAATATCCAAGCACATAAGCACTGTTAACTCCTGTCGTCAGCACAAACCCCACTTGAAACCATGAATCTACACACAGACACAAAAAAACATCAAACAAAATCATTAGAAATAATTAACTAACTTAGAAACTAGAATTAGAGAAAAATTAAGAAATAAAATCGAAGAAATAATGAACCAGTGCTGATTTGATGAGCAGTGTTTGGGATTTGAATTGGAACATCTTCGTCAATATCAGGTAGCAGCGTGACGCTGTGCTGCTCCTCTTCATCAACGGAAACGTTCTTAGCCGCCAGCTCGAATCTCTCGCTCGCTACACTCTCTTGTTTGTTTGAGAGAAATGGTAAGATCAAAATCGGAAAGGGTGTTATTATGAAATAAAATGAACTACTTGTAGTAGTGAAGAGCCATATGGTTTTGTTGATTGAATGAAGCTAATGTTTGTTTGTTTGTTTGTACCCTAGTTATTATTATTGGGTTGGGTATTCTTATGGGTCCCACTACTTTTTCTGTACATACGATGTTTTCTCGCTTTATGCGTGTATATATAGTTAGTTAGTTAGCTCGTATAATTGAATAATAAATTTAGCGTGTAAAATTATTTTATATTAATATTAAAATTTTATTTTAATTATTTATAAAATAATATCTTTTAACAGATTTTTTGGAGCAAAAATTAAAGTTAATTTAATAATTATTAATATTAATTTACTTTTTATTTTAATTTTAATTAAAAATATTAATTTAACAAATTCATAATCTCTCTTTATTTATTATTTTTAATTAATTATTATATTAGAAATATCTAAAAAATAGGAGATAAAAATGACTAAAAAATAGAAGATATCTATTTAATTTATTATTTTTAATTAATTAATATATTAAAAACTATTAATTTAATTATTAAATTAAAAATTAAAAATTAAAAATTAATATATATTTAAATATCTATGCAAACTTTAAAAATACAGTATATTTATCCAACTACTTCATAATTTTTATTTATCATTTAAGATATTAAAAATTATTAAAAAATTGGAATTACTTATTTAAGAAAATGTTGTAATTTTTCTTTTTAAGTTTACTTTGTTTGTATTTTATTTTATTTTCTTTGTTTAAGAAGGAAACATGATAGTATTTTTAATTAAAAAAATTGAATCTCAAATTTATTTATGAGTCTTGAGTGATTCTAAAATTTTAAATTTTTCTTTGTATTACATGTTAGTTTAAACTATTACACATTTACTAACCATTTACCACTCTTTTTATTCTATATATATTAGACTAAATTGTTCGGTTCAACTGAGAGTCGATAAATTTGTTGGTTTGATGTCAATTATATCTTAGACTTCCTTAACTAATCCATATAATTTCTAAAAAAATTATAATTTTTAATCATACTTTAAATTTATTTATTGTATATTCAATTCTATTTGATAATATATAATATTTAATTTTGACAAATATTTTTTAGGTTGAAATTTCTTTGACATATTCGTTTCGGTACATATATTGTTGAAAAGATTTTATGTAACTTTTATAAAAGACCGATGATTATATTTTTAATAATATAAACTTTGACATCACAATTTCTTATATTCTTTTTCTGTTTATGATATTTGTGTTTCTGTTTAAATAATAATTAAATAAAGAAAAAACTAATATACTAAACTCGTGTTTCTAAATAGCAAAAAATATCCAATTGCTATGTGTTATATTTGATTTTTTTATTATTTTTATTGTTAGAAGTCAATATTACTTTTTACTCTCAATACTCAATAAATAATTAAATAATTTAAATATTAACTAAAAAAAATAAGATATATAGTTTTTTTCTCATGGCTTAAAAGATAAAAAATGTAATTTTCTTAGTCATCTTATATACAATTCCACTATTCCATTAACTCACAATTTATTCATAATTTTTTTATATTCAACAACTACTTATAACCTATTAATTATGTATAATTTTTTTTAAGTATAGGTTAACCCAAAAAAAGGACAAAATAAATAATATATCATAAAGTTTCACGTTGAAATAATTTAAGATTCTCAATTTTTCCCCTTCTCAATCAATTTTTCTATTTTTTTAATATTTTTATTTTCTTCTTCCACTATTCCTTCGAAAATTTGTTTTTCTATTTTTTTTCTTTTAATATCATTGTTTGTTGATTTACAAATTTCAAATAATTTATAGTTTTATTTTTATCTTTTATTATTATATATGATGTATGTTCTAGACTGGGCCCGCACTTGGCTCAACTTCATACTAGGCTCAATCCAACTATGTTGCTCGAGTAGGCCCGCTGACCGAGCCTGCCCTCAACTATGTCGGGCAGTAACCTCACCCTTCAGGAAAACACGGCTTCGTCGTACGGGGATAAGTTCAAGAATCACGAGGAGGCTCACCGCCGATCAAGAGGACCTCGCGAGCATCTTCCAGTCCTCTCGTTGACCAAGACAAGCCCCCCGAACAACCCCACAACTGGAGGGGAGGGACCACGACGACACAAAGGCATCGCGAACACCCTCCTCGTAGGGTTGACTCACTACACCCCCGGATATTACAGAGTCTTCTTTGTCCCGAAAAGACCACATCCATATCCTCCTGACTATTCGGAGGAATCCATCCAGAAAATCTCATGCCAATTTTAAAGGAAATCTCATTGATAATCTTGGAAACCTTTCTCAACTTGAATCACTTGATTTGAGTGGCAATAGTTTCTATGTCAATAATCTAAAATGGCTTTGTGGACTTACTTCCTTAAAAACTCTTGATTTAAGTGGTGTTGATCTTAGCAGTTCTGAAAATAATTGGTTTCATGACATTAGTGTAATACTTGATTCTCTTGAAACATTACGTTTATCGGGTTGTCAACTTCACAAACTACCTACACCTCCTCCAGCTAAAGTGAATTTTGACTCTCTTGTAACTCTTGATCTGTCTGTCAATTATTTCAATATTATCTCTGATTGGTTGTTTGAAAATTGTCATCATCTTCAAAACCTTAATTTTTCAAACAATCATTTACTAGGCCATATACCATATTCAATTGAGAGGATGACAACTCTTACAACACTTGATCTATCACATAATATACTAATCGGCTCAATATCACCCTCCATTGATGGGCTAGTGAGTCTTGTAGCAATTGATCTATCACACAATATGCTCACTGGCTCAATACCATCAAAATTGGGCCGAGCTCATGGCCAAAGTAGTTTGAAAGAACCGCGTCTTTCTTATAATCACCTATGATTAAATTTTTCTTGAATATAAAAATATTGTAAGTCTTATTCTCTAGGGGAGCTTGCAAACCTTACTCTGAAGAAGCCAAGAAAACTTTGATAATTGTATTCTCAGGGGGAGCTTATAAACCTAACTCTGATGAAACTAAATTTTTTAATAGGTTTAAACTCAGGGGGGCTTACAAACCTAAATTTGATGTTCTAAACTATTTTGTGTATCAAAGTAAAAAAAAAAAAACTCATCAAAATGCATGGATTTGTCATCATCAAAAATTGAGAGATTATTGGAACTAATATGGTTCTACAACTATCCTTGAGTTTTAATGATAACAAAGTATATATTGTATAGAGAATAATTTTGTACTCTAATAGTTTTGTTAAATATGCAGATTCTGATAAGTAGACTCTAGACTTTGGACTAGCAAGTTCTGAACTCTAGACTAGTGAAGTGCTAGACTCTGAACAAGCAAACTGTGAACATGAGACATTAAACACACTATGAGAATACAAAGATTTATTTACAACAAAAGTTTGCATCTGAATTATCAAGTCAATTCTTATCGAAGAATTTTATCCAAAATGAATATGATATTTCAAGACTCTGAAGTCTCACGCTCTCAAAGTTCTTAATACTGACTCTGAACTTTGATCAAGCTTTATCTTGTCTTATTTGAAGCCTCTGATTCAAAAATATAACTCTTAAGGAAGATATTGAGGAAATATTACAAATATTATATTGTCAAATATCCTTTCCACCACTCTGCAAATCAGAATAAAGGACTGTACTTTTGTACCAACTTTGTTTCCACATGTCCCATCCTCTCTCCCACTATGTTACAAGCACCTCTTTACTATTGTACAATCTAGCGTATTCATGCAATATGTGATATTAAGAAATTCCAACTTCACCCTCGATCTATTCTTTATCTATATAAAGAGGTTTTTGAAGCATGAAAAAACTATAAGCAATGAAGTAAGAAGAAACACATGAGATGCACTGAGAAAGAAAGTTTGATAAACTACACAAAGAAGAAAGTCGTTGTTATTATTAAAGCCTTACATATTTCATTCTTTGTTAGAAAATATTGTTAGCACTAAACTGTGTGTATCAAATTTCTTAGAAGCACTTTGTAAACACAAATATTATATTCTTAACCTTTGGTTAATCTCCTTGAGGAACTAGGGTATAGTCAAAATCCTTAAGAAGTCTTTGACTGGGTATCATTGAGGTTGTAATTAAAGTTGTAATTAGTGGATTAAGTCCTTATTGAGAAGGCGAAATCACCTTGGTTGGTGGACTGAACTAACCTAGCTAAAGGAGAACCAGGACAAAAATACTTGTGTTCTTTTGTCATTGTTATATTTATGTTGTTTTTGTTTGGGTGAACAAAAAAGTTTTATTCTTGAGACCTAACTCAAAACCCCTTTTCTTGTGGTCTTAGTACCATCAAAAGGTGTATTTCTAGACCGATTATCTATCATACAAGTAGTAATCGTGTAGTATAGAACTGAGCTGTTTTACATGACAATTTAAGGTGTCACCAATGAAAATCCTTTAATAATACAAACATTTAACAAAACACACAACAAAAATATCAACGTTATGCAACACCTGTCATCACACACTCACCTTCACTTATAATACCATTGTGGCAATATCGATCTTATTTCAATTAATAAACATTGCAACTTAGACCTTTAGTCTCAAACTTCAAATTATAATAAATAGTTTTAAAAAATAAAGAGTTATCATATTCAACTCTTGACAACTTCAACATAAACAAAAAAAATTAAACTACAACAAAACATAAATAGCCAGCAGACGTTCCCAACCCCCATGTTACAAGATCAAAGCAAGAATTCTAAACAATGATAAACTTAAACAAAGTAACTTCATGAGCTAACTTCCACTTACAATAGAAAACTCTACTCTTGAGTATCTGCAAGATGTCCATGGTAAACAACATCAAAGACAAGGGGATAGAAACAATATTCAATATAAACAATGTAAATAATGCTAAGGTGGAGAAACATACAACAAGCACACATTCATTGCACAATCAACAATAACATGTTTTCACACCCATCTACAACTGCATACACATATTCTCATCCAATCAACAACATCATGAATAATCAATGACATATGCAAGTATGTATGCAATATACTCCAAAACTG